TGTTTTGCAACCTTCACCTCTATCTTATATAATAAAAGCGTAATATGCTAAGTGTCTGACCGTTCATTCGACCGCTCATTCCACCAGTCGGCAGAGGCTCCAACCGGTAGGTTAGCTTGCTGCTGGGGGTCTGGCTGATAGAGACTGGGTGAGACAGGCTGGACATGCCCTGGAGCCCTCCCGCTGTCCCTCCCCAGCCAGCCAACCTCCCAGTCCCTCCCCGGCTGGCTGGCCCCCATCAGTCCCAATGGGGACTGGGCAAGATGGCCCCGATCAGCCCCAATTGCCTGCTAGGCCAAGGGACCCCACTGGTGCACGAACTCATGCACCGGGCCTCTAGTCTAGTTATAAAACATCATCACTCCAAAAGGGAAGTCCATATCCATTAAGCAGTCACTCCCCATTCCTCCTCTCCTAGCCCCTCGTAACTGCCAATCTGCTTTCTGTCTCTATGGATTTATTTATGCTGGATATTCATGTAAGTGGAATCATACAATATGTTTGGCTCCTTTCACTCAGCATAATTTCAGGGTTCACCTATGTTGGAGCATGGATCAGAACACATTCCTTTTTAGGGCCGAATAATATTCCACGGTATAGATATACCACATTTTGTTTATCTATGTATCCAGTGGTGGGCATTGGGTTGTTTTGTGTTACTTAATTTTTCATTCTTTAAAAAATATATTTTTATTGATTTCAGAGAGGAAGGGAGAGATAGAAACATCAATGATGAGAGAGAATTTTTGATCAGCTGCCTCCTGCATGCCCCATACTGGGGATCAAGCCCTTGATTGGAATCGAACCTCAGACCCTTCAGTCACCAGGCCAACGCTCTATCCACTGAGCCAAACCGGCTATGGCTGTTTTGTGTTATTTAAAAAAATCACATAAATAATCCATGGATTCAATCTTGCTATAGAAATTCAAACCAGACTGACTCAGGTAGAGTTAGAAGCGAACGTTTTCCTTGTCAGACTCCCCAGTGAACCTCTTTCTCCTTAGTTCCAGGAAGAGGTAACCATCCCTCTCCATGGGGATTTTCCTCCTTGGACCCTGGAACAGGGAGACACTGGATTTTGTGGGTAAAAATGGCAACAGTAGAGTGAAAGCTGACACTGAACACTCACCATGAACCAGGCCCTGTCTGGAGCTCTTCCCACACATGATCTCATTTCATTGTCACAACGATAAAATGCAAACTCCTTACTCCTCATGATCCCGCCACTGCCCGCCTCTCAGACATCATCTCCCATCACTCTCCTCCCTGTCTGCTCCACACGCCTCCTCTCCATTCCTCACACACAGACCGCATGCCTGCCTCCGGGCCTCAGCACTGGCTGTCCCCTCCGCCT